ACAAGACACTCAACAGGTACAATTTTTTGACAAAATGTCAAAATAAAAGGAACTAAGAACAGCTGCATGTTATCACAAGTGATCTTCAGAGCTCTGTTAGCTTGGACTAGAGGGTCTTTCTTTCCATGCTTCTCACCAGACACCCATAGAGGAGACTTTTAAGAGCTGGACTGATTAACACTTTCCCAAAACCTTGGGAGTAGGCAGCCACCCCCTGACTCCTGCTAAATCAGTCTCCAGGGCACTGGCTAAGTCGGGAACCACACACCTCTCTCACCTCTGGCAGGAAGATTTACTCCTGTGGGTATCCAGCAAAGATGCAGACCTGCACACTGGTTCTGAGTTTGCCACCACATGTGAATTGCTGTTGACTGTGGTTGGCCTGGTGTAGTTTATTTAGCATCTCCAGCATTATTTAAAACAAGCACATGTGCAGATGAAATTATTTACACAGGACAGATGAAAAAAAAATGCCTATCTACAGTCTGTGAAAGAGGGTGGGAGTTCTACCAGCTCCCTGAAGTGGAAGTACTCCACAGAGATGAAATGTTGTGGGAAAGGGGAATCAGTTTTTACTAACCTCTCTTCCCCTGTCACGCTAACTTTGCAATTTTCAGTTCAACCTCCGATATCAGATGTGTTCAAGAGTCATGGGAATTGTCAGTGCAAGTATATTTAGCCATATTCCTTTGGGTAGGTGGGGGAGGAAAGAGACCCCTAAATAGCTGTAAGATAACAATTACTGCAAGTGTATTTGCTTAGAGAAAGTTTAGTCAGAGTTCAGAGAAAAGACAAGTCCTTGGCAGCTGGATGGCCACTAGCCAGCTTCTTCTCAAGCTGTCCCTGCAAATCCTTACTCAGTGAGGAGCATGCTCAGAAGAGAAACTGCTCTGCTTTCCTCAGGTCTTCTCCACGTGCTCCGAGTTCTCCTTGTTGTAAAACATGTTTAAAGAAGTGGCAAATTATCTAGATGCTCTCTCGTCTTTAACCAAGAAAATTCAAATCCAAGCCCTCCACCATAGAAAGCATCTTTTACATGGGGAAGGCAGGGGGGGTAGAATTCAAACTATTCACAATATTGCAAAAGAGTCAGAAAAGTTCACAGCACTTTAACAGACAAGTAGTGAACATGTCCTGGCTTTCATTCAACTGCAGTATTAGTGGGAGTGGAGAGAGACCTCCTCCGTGACTGCAGGAGAAAGCTGTGGGACTGGAAAAGTAGCAGGGGAGGATGTGAACGCTGTTAAAAATAAAACTTATCAGATGACAATTGAATCGTGAGAATGTTATCTGGTTCAACAGGAGTGTGAAAACAAATAGGCATTTCAAGAAGAGGGTCGCAAGCAAGGTAAATAACTTCAAAATAGCAGGAAGTGACCAAGGAAACGTGCCAAGCTGACGGCAAGAAACAAACTCTCACCGACAGCAGAGGACAGCAGCGGTCATGGATCACGGTGTCACCTCCGTGTGGTGCCACCATCGTTCATCCAGCTGCGTGGCACTGCACCCACCTGCCACAACCCTGGCCATGGTAGGACACAGGACTGAAAAGATTCGCACAGGACAACGTTTAACATGACCCAGTGTTTATTGACTCCTGCCACATTGTTTGTAACAGGAACACAAAATGTGATGTATGGCAAAATACAACTAAGGGTTTCTATATTGATCTGATGCAAAGTGCCAGCATTGTTGACCAGCATACAACCTGACAAGAGGAGATGTAGTCATGACTCGCTCTCAGATATCTGCTGGGAGTACAGCACAGTCCAGGTAGAACTAGTTATTTGCCTGCAAATAGACACACTTTCTTCTAGATGCAAGTGGTGTTAGAGCCAGCTGTTTTGCAACAACAACAACAAGAACATACAATGTATTCCAACATTTTAAAAAACACATAAGGAAAGGACTAAAACTGTTTAAAGATGGAAGGGAAAAAAGAGTGGATCTTTTTAGACACTACCTCGCAGAGGACACTCTTCATAGAACCAGAAGTAATCTAGAGAAAACAAGGTTTATTAGAGGCTACTTTCCTCAAAAGGCCAGTGGTTACAGATTTAAGAATAAAAATAGTCTCTTGATTTTCAGTACTGTCTCCTGGCCTTTTTCCCCCTGCACAACAAAATCCATGCATTGGAAATTGTGGCTTGGTGGCTCTGCCTATTTTTCCAATGCAATTGCAATTGGAAATGCAACCATATTTCTCAAAGACCCATGAAAAACTTGCATGACATGCACATGTGGCATGAAACATCTTCACAGATATGCATGATGAAGGCACATTACCTAAAAGCGGAAAAAGCCAAACAAACCAAAAACCAAAAAAATTTTTGAGGACTAAAATTAATTGC